CACTGCTGAGGGGAGCAGCGGGCGGGTCCGGAGAGGTCTGCCGCGCCCTGTGGTCGCCTCCGGGCGGGGCTCAAACTGGCACTGAAGAGCCTCCGTCCTTAATCCGTGTGCCGCCGGGGAGGGCCCAACTTTTTTATTTTTAATTATTCCTTATTACCTATCATTTCTTTTTCTTATTGAGGTGAAACTCACATAACCAAAGAGACACTCTTTACTTTTTGTTTTTTAACTTAATCTATGTCTTTTTAACTAAGGTCATATTGGGGTACCCCCGCTAAGTATTACCACCATCGTGTACCTAGCACCACTCCCCCATATTCCACTCCCACACACCATGTGCTGCCTTCCCTCTTTGTGCTTTGCCCTCCCTCGCCTTATCCTTCTGGTGCTTCAGTTCTGTAGTCTGCTATTCAGGGTGACTTTTTCAGCTTGTACTTATCTGACTATTAATTTAGGTACTTTATATTCCACGTATTAGTGATACCACCAGTATTTATCTTTCTCCTTATGACTTACTTCACTGAGCATAATCCCTTCCAACCCCAACCACATTGCCACAAATGACGTGAGTTTCTTTTTGATCGCTGCGTAGTATTCCACTATTAATAATGTACTGTGTCATTTTGATCCACTCATCTGTTCTGAGAAATTAAGTTTGCTGCAACAGTTTAGCTTGTAAATACTGTTGTTAAAATATAGGCGTGCGTGCTTCTTTTGAAATCAGTGTTTTTAATTTCTTGGATAGATGTCTAGGAGTGGAGTTACTGGGTCAAATGGCAGACCCACTTTTAATGTTTTGTGACACCTCCGTACTGCTTTTCATGAAGGCTGGAGCTCTTTTCTACACATCATCGCCAGTGCTTGTTGTTTCTGGTCTTTTCCATGTGGGCCATTCACATGGGTGTGGGATGGTCTCTCCTTAGGGTCTTGAACTACATTTCTCTAATAATAAGTGATGGTGAACATTTTTATGTGCCTGCTGGTTATTTGAATGTCTACTTTGGAGACATTTAGTTTAGTTCTTTTGCCTACTGTTTGATTGGGTCATTTATTTGTTTCTGTAAAGTTATATGAGTTCTTTTTATATCTATGCTATCAGTCCTTTGTCAGATGTATGGTATACAAATATTTTCTCCTATTTAGTAGTGTGTTTCTTTCATTTTTCATATGGCTTCTTTTGCTGTTCAGAAGCTTTTCATTTTGATATAGTTCCAGCTAAAAAAAAAATTTACTATTTTAAAGTGAGCATAAATGTAACTGGTGAGTATTTTTTTAAAAGATTTATTTATCTATGCATACAGAGCTGGGGTACAGGCTAGAGGTGCAGGGGCGATGAGACAATTAACCAGAGACAGAGTGGGGAGCAGGACAGGCAGAATGACCAAGTACACTGCTGAGGGCGCAGTGCCATGTGGGTCACCTCCCTGGCCAAGGATCGAACAAGTGCTGAGCTTTAACCTATTGCGCCACCAGGGAGGGCCAGGGCGAGTAATTTATAACACAGTTGTACAACTGCAATTAGCAGAGAAAGTGGGAGGAACACTTGGTCCAGCCCCTCGCCACCAGCAACCTGCCCTCCTCACCTGCGGTTTGCTGAGGC